GCCAATTTCGGGATTTTTGGGTTAATTTGATTATTTTCGCTTGGGCTTCGTTCCTTTAGCGCGTATTAATGGTATGATACTGATTTTGGTTAGATTTGGAGCATTCGGAGGCCGAGTCGAGAGCCAAAGGCATCGCGGGCTAGAGTTTGGATCGGTTTGAGGTAAGTAATGATTGTAAATATTGTCCTGAGGGTATGAAACCCTGGATTTCACATCGTTCTACTACTTTGAGGTGACACACACGCTAGATGACGAGCGCGGGGTCGTGCACCATTGGGGATTGTTACTTGGTCCATCCCATACGGCTATTAAGTCACGTATTTGATTGAAAACTGTTTGATATTATTGTGTTTTGGAAAGTATTACTATGTTTGGGGCTGAATGCCGTGTTAGGGCCTTGTGCCGACTGTTTGGACCCTTAGGGGCTTTTTACTACTGTTTCCTCACTGTTTTGGTTTAATATCTACACTCAGTCATGCTATGTTCTTACTGATTTCATAACTCGTTTCTATTTACTCCGTTCAATTTTATAAATAATATTTTGGGCCGAGCACCTGTTTTACTGTTAGCCCGAGTGGCTTGAGAGGTTTATGACTGATGAGGTCGAGGTCCTGTGTTGTGAGGATACCATGGGATCGGGCTGCGTGCCGCATCATGTTGTACTTATTTGTGATACATCAGAGGCCGAGGGCCTGATTTATTTTGCCACAAGATGGCTTGTGATAGCGCTTGGGCTGTAGGAGCCCCTCCGGAGTCTGAACACCCCTAGTGAGCGCGGGTACCCAGTGTGTGTGATGTGATGTTGCCCGAGGGGCTGATCTTTTTTGTGTTGTTGCTTGAGGTGCTGACTATGAGTGATTGTGATGTAGCCCGAGGGGCTGTTCTATTGATATTTTGCCCGAGGGGCGGTTTATGGTACATGTCTTGCCCGAGGGGCTGTTTACGTTTCTATCATTTTTACTCACTGTTTTCATCACTTGTTTGAAACTATTGAAAGATGTTTAAAAGAAAAGGCTTTTACTGAAACTGAGTTTGTTTTTACGAGTCAATTGATTTCTGTACTGTTTTGCAGTAGTGTTACGACATGGAATTATCTGTTTTCTTACTGTCAGCTGCTTTTACTTTTTTTACTTACTGAGTTGGCATACTCACATTACTCCATGCACCTTGTGCGCAGATCCAGGTGTTGCGGGTCTTGATAGTGAGCATTGATCGTTTCTCTCAGCGGGTCTTGGAGTCGACAAGGTAGCTACATGGCGTTCGCAGCCCTGTTCTTCTCCCTCATATCTTCCTTAGATTTTATATTAGTATTGTCTTCCAGACTTTGTTTGACTTTCTTGAACTTAGACGGATTTTGTAGTTGCTCATGACTGGTGACACCCCGATGTCGTGCTTGTGTTATTTTCTTGCGAACTGGTTATTTAACCTTATATTATGAGATATTTTGTTAATTAATGGCTTAAAATGACTTTTATGGGATTCTGGTTGTATTTGGGGTTGTATCGGTTGTCCTAGTTTTATGATAGGCACCATCACGACCGGGTCAGTTTTGGGGTCGTGACAGCTGCAGAGTGAGCATCGCGTTCACGCCAGTATGCATGCACTCGCGAAGTGATGAGTTGAGAAGCTGGGGGCAGAAGATTCCTCTTCGCATTCTCTAGTGTCTTCACGTGATCGCGTATTGTAGGTTCATGTGTTCATCGCGTTCGCCTGCCATGTTTCGCGAATGCGTAGGATATTTTGGGGAGGCTGTTGAGTTATTTCTTCGCGTTAGCGGAGCCTTGTTTGCGATCGCATTGTGTATTTTTTGGGGCAGTGCTCTTCCTTCTTCGCTATCGCGAGGTTATTCCCGCGATCGCGATTCATTAATTTACGCAGTGATTATAAAGTATTCTACTTCAGCGGTTTCGGCCATTTTTTACATTTTTGGAGCTACGGAGCTCAGATTCAGGCGATTCTTGAAGCAATTTTCACCATATGGACTAGGTTTTGAGCCGTTTGAAGGTCGGTACGCGCGTGATGGCATTTTTGGAACATCGATTGGCTTGCTCGAAATTGGAATTTTTCTTCTACGAGGTAAGTAACACTTCTAAACTTGATGCTGAGGGTATGAAACCCCGAATTACGTGCTATGTGTTTGGTTTTAAGGTGACACACACGCTAAATGACAGGCGTGTGGGCGTGCACCGTGTAAATTGTGACTGCGTTATTTCTGTGGTACTATATAGTTACCCGACCTTATCTGTAACCATGAAATCTCTACGTACTAGAGCTATTGAGCTGCGATCCATGTTAGAAACCATGTCTAGGCTACACGATTGTTCTGTTGGGACCTATTGAGATCGTTGCTACTGTTGAGTAATTTGCTTACATTGCAATTTCATACTTAGACATGTTCATTCATTTCATATCATATCTCAGTCTCTGTTGCTACATATTGACACATATCATATCTCGGTCTCTATTGCTACATATTGACACATCATATCATTATTTTTGGGCTAGTTTCATGGCATTGTGAACCCAAGAGACTAGAGAGATTAATGACTGAGTGAGGCCGATGGCGTGATTGTGAGGATATTGATACTATGGCACGTGAATTGTCCGTAAGGATCCAAATATTGATACTATAGCACGTGAGTTGTTCGTGTAACATGTGAGTTGTCCGTGCGGATCCAGATATTAATACTATAGCACGTGAGTTGTCCGTGCAGATTATAGCGCTTGGGCTGAAGGAGCCCCTCTGGAGTCCGTGCTGATCCAGATATTAATACTATAGCACGTGAGTTGTCCGTGCAGATTATAGCGTTTGGGCTGAAGGAGCCCCTCTGGAGTCTCTACACCCCAAGTGAGCGCAGTTGCTAGCGATTGCTATGTTTGGGCTATATATGCCATGTTCTGTACTGAGTGACTGAGTGTGTTGAGTGATTGAGCATGACGAGTGGAAAGTATGAGACAGTGAAATTGAGTACTCTAAGAATGTGAGTACATGAGTTCGTCTCTAAGATACATTGCATTTGACATGCACACATGACATACAGACATAAAAATGTATTTTTCCTCATGCTGTACGGTATCACATCATTCATGACTTCTCACACATACCGGCATATGGGCATAGTGATGCATTTTACACTTGCTATCTGGAAAGAAAATGAAACATCTTACTGATTGTTGAAAGGATTTTTGGGAAAGTTACTGTTGTCAAACTTACTCATATTCTTTTGGCAATCGACTTGGGTTTTCACTGATATACTTGAAAGGCAGAACTATTTTCAGAAATCATGATTAAGCTGAGCATTTTATCTCTGAGTTACTTCTTTTGTTACTTGCTTTACATTGTTATGAACTGTTGTTGGCTATTGGTGTTGGAACCGACCTTTGTTCCAGCTCGTCACTACTTTCAACCTAAGGTTAAGTTTGTTACTTATTGAGTACATGGGATCGGTTGTACTCATACTACACTTCTGTACCTTGCGTGCGGATGTTGACTGTTGTTGTTGCTGTGATCGACGGGAGCTGGAATTGAAGACGTACCTGCGTTCTGGTGGTAGCTGCCAGCTTGTTCATGCATGGTAGCCTTAGAATACATAGGTCTGTTCATGTGTATTTCAAACAGATGATGTCCTTTATTTCTTTTAAGCTTTTTTTGTAAATTCTAAATCTTAGAGGCTCATGATTTGTACTACAAGTCCTTGGGGAATGTATAAGATTCAGATAATTTTTTTTTTTTACTTAATTGTCTTGTTAAATTTCATTGTAATTGAATGGTTGATAACTGGCTTACTTAGCAGGTTGAGTTAAGTGCCATCACGACCAGTTGGATTTTGGGTTGTGACAACTTTAGGGCAAGTAGGAAATTTGAAGATTTCAATACTAGAAAAAAACATGCGAATACATTTTTAACTTATAGATTGGCTCGATTTGATGTCACTGTTCAGATTTTAAATGGTTCTTCTGAAATGGTGAAACTTGAAATACAACTTATAACATCATCTCTGCAAATCATATTTATTTATTGATGAGCTGCAACTGTGGATAAAGAAAAGAAATCATGTGTGATGTATAAGATTACATGATTAAAGTATTTATGAGGTAGATCTTTGAGGAAGAAAAAGGTGGAAAAAAACGGAACAAGAAGTATTGTAAATTTATATTAAGAGATAAGAGAATAATCCTCGCCAGAAAGCATGTGAGCTTCTTAATTAATTGATATAAATTAAAGTGTATTATTTGTTGTCTTATTGTTAAGCAAATGAAACTTACAGAACTACAGTTCAACGAAATGCGCTCCAATTGGGTAATTTTATCATTCTTGTTATTTGAGTTAGAACTTTAAATACTCCCTTTCTTTCAGTTTATGTGAATCTATTTTCTTTTTAGTCTGTTCCAAAAAGAATGACCCCTTTCTAAATTTGGTAACAATTTAGTTTAAACTTACAATTCTAACCTTAATGAGAAACTTTTATAACCACACAAACAAATACTGTGAGCCCCTTTTTGACTTGTTTACGGCCACAAATTCCAAAAGTCTTATTTTTTATTAAACTTCGTGCCCGGTCAAACAAGTTCACATAAATTGGAACGGATGGAGTACTGCTTATGAGTTGGTGGAACGGATAAAATGTAGCCATTCTTTCACCACTTACCACTCCAAGGGCTAATGAAATTGATGAAGTTACGTGACGACAACTTTCTTATTCTGCTTTTAAGGTGACCAAATTCATTGTTCAGAATTTCTCGTAGTGGACTGGATCATCAACAATTTATTGTCCCTTGCATGCTAAAGAAGGTGGCGTGATGGATTTGGCAGGTATACTATTACAGTCAAAATTGCACAATTACAGTTGGGCTGCTATCCAAGAATGTTTCTAGAGATGTCCAGGTGGTCAACATTGGCAATAAAATTAGCTAACACTTGCAACAAAACAAATATTTGTAAAAAATATCACTAGCTATAAAAGAAGATGTTGCCTACATATTAAAAAATCCTAAATTTCATATACCTTTAGTACTCTTGAAATTTTCAAATAATGGTTCATCTTCTTTCTCCCATAGAAGCCATTGTAGGACTTGTAACCTTTGCATTTCTAATCTACTTCCTATGGACAAAAAAACAATCAAAAATCTTAAACCCACTGCCTCCAAAAATCCCAGGTGGATGGCCAGTAATCGGCCATCTCTTTTATTTCAAGAACAATGGCGATGATGACCGCCATTTTTCTCAAAAACTCGGAGACTTAGCTGACAAATATGGTCCCATCTTCACATTCCGGTTAGGGTTTCGCCGTTTCTTGGCAGTGAGTAGTTATGAAGCTATGAAAGAATGCTTCTCTACCAATGATATCCATTTCGCCGATCGGCCAGCTTTACTTTACGGAGAATACCTTTGCTATAACAATGCCATGCTTGCTGTTGCCAAATATGGCCCTTACTGGAAAAAAAATCGAAAGCTAGTCAATCAAGAACTTCTCTCCGTTAGTCGGCTCGAAAAATTCAAACATGTTAGATTTTCTATAGTTCAGAAAAATATTAAAGAACTATATGATGGTGATTCACCAATGATGAAGATAAACCTTAGTGATTGGATAGATAAATTGACTTTCGACATCATTTTGAAAATGGTTGTTGGGAAGACCTATAATAATGGACATGGAGAAATACTCAAAGCAGCTTTTCAGAAGTTCATGGTTCAAGCTATGGAGATTGAGCTCTATGATGTTTTTCACATTCCATTTTTCAAGTGGTTGGATCTTACAGGGAATATTAAGGCTATGAAACAAACTTTCAAAGACATTGATAATATTATCCAAGGTTGGTTAGATGAGCACATTAAGAAGAGAGAAACGAAGGATGTTGGAGATGAAAATGAACAAGATCTTATTGATGTGGTGCTTTCCAAGAGGAGCAACGAACATCTTGGCGATGGTTACTCTCATGACACCACCATCAAAGCAACCGTATTCGTAAGTAAATTAATCTCTGCTTGTATTTTAACATGTTGTAGGATGATATATATCTTATATTTTAGGTTACTATATTCGTATATAATATGATCATTTTAATTTTTATAGACAGTTATATATATATTGTTATTTTTTAAGTGGTTTAGTAGTGTATAGATTCTTCTACACTTTCAGTATTTCGAAGTCAAACACTAATTTATGGATTCAGTTAATAAACACAATCACCGTAGGTAATGAATTTTTATATTTTTGGTCTATTTTAACCTATTGTAACAACCGATTTCAATAAAAGAAAAAAAGAAGCTTTTATACCTTTATAAAAGATCTACATATTTGTTCGATTTGACTGGAGTATTTTCATTTTCTTAACCAACTCATGCATACTAGGATTTGAATAATCATGCATCTTCATCTCTTTAATTTCTTCTTTGTAAGTCATCTTTTTAACTGTTCTCTGTCAATATATATAGACTTTGGTCTTGGATGCAACAGACACACTCGCACTTCATATAAAGTGGGTTATGGCGTTAATGATAAACAATAAGAATGTCATGAAGAAAGCACAAGAAGAGATGGACACCATTGTTGGTAGAGATAGATGGGTAGAAGAGAGTGATATCAAGAATTTGGTATATCTTCAAGCAATTGTTAAAGAAGTATTACGATTGCATCCACCTGCACCTTTGTCAGTACAACACCTATCAGTAAACGATTGTGTTGTCAATGGATACCATATTCCTAAGGGGACTGCACTACTTACAAATATTATGAAACTACAACGAGATCCTCAAATATGGGCAGATCCTGATAAATTCGATCCAGAGAGATTCCTGACAACTCATGATGCTATTGACTATCGCGGGCAGCACTATGAGTTGATCCCGTTTGGTACAGGGAGACGAGCTTGTCCCGCAATGAATTACTCATTGCAAGTGGAACACCTTTCAATTGCTCAATTGATCCAAGGTTTCAATTTTGCAACTACAACAAACGAGCCTTTGGATATGAAACAAGGTGTGGGTCTAACTTTACCTAAGAAGACAGATGTTGAAGTGCTAATTACACCTCGCCTACCTCCTACGCTTTATCAATATTAAGATATTTTGTTGTCGCGATTCATTCTGATTTGTCCATCAATGCTTAAAAAGAAGATGTTTTATTTTGGTTAATATTGTTTCACAGATGATTATTCATCTATTTTACTAGATAAGTGATTGTAATCCATAAATAATAAGAAGTTTGAGTCTCCGATATGCATTTCTCGGGCAGAAGTCTTAAGAATGAGCTCAGACCTCTATGGCCTAGCCTCTTCATGTTCTTGTTCAAGTTTAATTCCAATTCTTTTCTCGTTTTATTATTTTTATATATTTATTTAAACGTCCTTTTTCAATTTCAAAGTAATGCTTATGAACTTTTACTCTAACATTCATACAGTTGTGTAGAAATAGACTTCAAGATAGAAGTTTAACTTATATGCACAAATTATACAGTATTTTTTCAGTGTGTTTTATTATGTTCTTGTTTTCTAGTTTAGTGATATCCCTTTTCTATTTATGGACGTGTATTAGTAGTTATAAAAAGGAAAGGGGGGGGGGGGGGTTGTCACACCTCTTTTTTCCCACACAACCCTATTACGAGGTTGAGTTAGAAGAGTTTTTCCTATTAAAGTGACGTTTTGAAAAGGGATTATTTATTATTGGGAGTCGCCACTTGGAATTGAGTTTTGGTGTTCCAAGTCAGCTTTTTATTTTAATCCCTCATCAAATAGAATATTTTACTCCTTATTTATTGGTATGAAAATAGAAGACTGAGTAAGAAATTCTGTTGACCGAGGGAAGGTGTAAGGCACCCCTCGAGTCCCGTGGTTCTAGCAAGGTCACTTTTATTGACTAATATAAGGCTTAAATTAATTTTTGGCTATTCTTATATTTTATTGGTTATAACTTGCCTATTACCACTTAATTAATTATTATATTTTATTAATTATTTTGACCTAAATGCAGTATGCACACAAAGCACTTTTTTAAGGTAGATGTTAAACGAAGGTACCGAATGTACACGTGGTCAAAACATATTACTTTAAATTTTACGGCATGAGATGCGGGCTTGAATTAATTCACAACCCATGTATGTACTTCACAAATATTTATTTTTTAAATCGGCACACCTAAACTTCTATGAGGAAGTGGGGAAGTGGGGATTAGGACGTTAGGGGATGTGAGGCTGGTGGGGGAGCTTTTTGAGGGGAGATGTGAAGAATATGGGAAGTGAGGGGTTAGGGAATGCAGATCGTGGGAGTAGTGTAGGATACTTACTCTTTTTTTTTTTTTTTTTCAGATTTACACTTTTTTTTTATTTTCTGTTTTCGTTTTTTTATATTTTTTTAAAGCCTTTTTCTAACCCATCTTTATTAAATAAAAAGAAGGTAAAATACATGGCTCTCTCTCTCTCTTTCTCTTTCTCTCTCTCTCTCTCTCTCTCTCTCTCTCTCTATATATATATATAAAAACCAACATAGTCTTAGACTTAAAGAAAACTCAATATTTACACTATAGTTTAAATTATACAAAGAAAAATACTATACCTTACATTTCAAATTAGAAGAAACCAAATATATATTATTTGGTAAATTTTCTTCTATTTAAAAATAGGAACAAAAGTTATACTCTAAGAATGCGAATATTTTTTGTAGTTTTTAATTTTCATAAATGAAACCTATTAAGAGATAGATAAAAGTTTAAAATATCAAAATTATACCTAAAAGAAATATTTACACTTAAATAGTATAGAATTTGGGTGTGATCAAAATTAGTTGTTCACGGGGGAGGCCAAATAAGAAGGAAGGTTAGAAGAGGGTGTACCTTTATTCGAAAATTTCTTTGGAATAAGTAATTAATTAATATCTTATATTTGTATGTTTCAGTTATTCACATACTGATTTTGTATAAATTCGAATGTAAAGGATAATTAAAGCAAATCAACCCAATGAATATAATAGTTAAACAGTTAACTGAACAAACAAAATTAAGTCACATTCTCGACGGTAGAAAACATCAATTTACAATATCACTGCAAACTTGAGCTCTCAATCACAATGGATGCACTCCATAAGAAAGAGGCGCCTATAGTGGCTAATGAATGGGAAAAAAATAAATCAAAGATGATGTTTGAGATCACATGAGGTACAGGAAATTATGGTATTCGTGGGCAATATGACAAGCCAAGTATTCATGCAACAAGTGACAGAACGATCAGGAAAAGTAATTGCTTACATTTAAAGACAACTGAGAAGGCACAAAAGGAATTTTGTGGTGTAGCAAGTTAAAGGAAGGATGTGAGTAGTACAAATAGATATGTGTAGGTCACAAGCTAAAGTATAGCAGAGTGACAAGATTTTAGGTATAAGGGAGTAAGGATAAGAAAAGGTGAGTTAGAAGCTGATAAGAACAGGTAAGACCTCGGTATTAAGCCCATCAAACAAGAGAGCTGATGGTTTATGTATGTTATGAAAAGCTCATTATAGCTTGAATTAACCCGGAGGAGTGTAAGACTAGGAGAATTTAGAAGAGATGGAATGATGCCCTGGTCGTAATGTAAGGGTGTAATTGTGGTAAATTATAAAAGGATGATAGTTAGGCCTTCAATTGAGTAATGATTCAGAGAGAAGAGATCTCATGGATGGCACAGAATTAGAATACCCCATAAGATAAATCACTTTGGGATGCTATGAAATACGGTTATTGAAGTATGGTATCGTCCCTAGGTGGATAAGGAAAGCCACTTCAGATGTTCCCTGATGAGACATGAGACCTAGTGACAATGTATTACGTAAGAGGTTTTAAGTTGTCAGTGGTGGATTATAGATGAACATTAAGGTGAATCAACAATATATGGATAAAAGTTCCAAAGTATGAGAGGAGATTATGATGCCATTATTTAGATGAACAGTAATAAGGAAGCATTAAATGACTTAGATTTATACCTATAGGATAAGCGGTGAGAGAGTAACCTGGAGTTGAGTAGCAGACCTCGGTAATAATAAACCGAAGTAAGAGTTAGGATATAGTATGACCTACCTAGATGTAGTAAAACCATAAGCATAGATAACCGAGGCTATGAAGCAAGGTATAGCAATAGTCGTAAGTTTGACAAAATACCAAGCGAAGAACTTTAGTACACCTATAGATGCCTAGAGGGACATCTTGTCATAGTTCTGTATATGTTCACAAAGTGAGGCCTAGAGATTAGCTAAAAGCTGGAGGAAAAAGGAGAGAAGAGTCGCATAGGAACACATACAAGTACACGGTTGCACATGATGCATGACAGAAGGTAACAACAGTTACGAGATTGGAAGAATTCCGACCACAGGTCATGGTATGAGAAAGAGGCCTAAAAGGGGGAATACACTGGCCTTTGGATTTATTTACAGAACAGTTTCCTAGATGTCAAGGACAATATTAAAGTATTCGTAAGAGCTACAGGTTCTGAGACTGATAAATGCATCAGTCAACATTCGAGGACGAATGTTCCAAAGGGGGGAATGATGTTACATCTCATGTTTTCGTACGTGAGAGTACGTCGTAAGTCAATTGATGTAAGCTAAAAAAAATGAGAATGTCATTGAAAGTACATAACGTAAGTTCATCATGTTATCTTGGAGGTTACAAATCTTTAAGATCATGAATAACAAGTATCAAAAGGGTTGGAAAGCTTAGACACTAAATGAATTTAAGAAAATAAGTTTCGTCGAAAGTCCACAAGTTTGGAATGTTATAACATATAATTTTGGGGTGAGACTAGGGTGATTAACATGATAAGGAGGTTAAGTTATGAGTTATTTTAGTCGTATGATCCATTACGGATTTAACCCTAATTAAGGCAAAAGTAATGGACGAAACCTCATTAACGCAAAGGGTACGAATGAACCAAAATTTTAAATAAACAAAACTTGAGAAATTCCATAGTATAAGATAAATTGTTATAAGATTATCAAAAAGATATAAATTTTAATACCAATTAGGCAATGATATTCGGCCAAAAATGCATATATTTACCTATTGTTGCCTCATGTTTTAGTACTTTTAATCGTCTTTTAAGTATTAATTATATTACTTTATGCTTAATATTATATTTTAACTGTATAGGACTAAAGTGGCCTGAAGATATAGAGATTTGGAACAAAATTGAATAAAATGTGAAAGAAAAAGAAAAAAATAAAAGAATTAATTATTGAGAGACAAAGGGGGGACACCATTTGGGTTTTGTCCCCCAAATGCAAGACAAAAGAAGAGTGGAGGACTTACATTCTTGAAAGGAAACAAAAACGTTACTGCTTTGTGCGCCAGGGCAAGCGTTAGGCGCTGCCCTGGACGCTCAGAGTAGGGACTTGTCCTATTTCGTTCGGGATTTGGTTATTTCGGCTCTACACACCGTCAATTCGTAAAAGGGGTCCTAAACCTATTTTGCCGGGATGGACGTTTTTGAGAGAAAAACACATGCACAGGACCGCCGTGAAGGCCGGAATTCATCAAGTTCCATCTTTCTTTCACCAAATTGAGTATTTTTTTATGTTTCTTTATATGATTTGTTGTTTTGCTACCATGTATATGTGGAGCTAAATTTCACGTTCTAGGGTTGTGGTTCTTTCATGACTATTGTTATTTGGATATTGATTTTGATTTCTCAATTTATCATAGTGGTTTATTTATTTAATCCTGCACTTAATTATTTGATTGCTTGATCACCAATTGAATATTATCTACGAATCTAGAATTGAACTCGAAAATGGGAATTCTAGATTGCATATAGGATTAAGTAGAGCATGTTCTTGAACCTGGGCATCGGGGAACAGATTCGCAGTTAGGATAGACATATACCTAATTGCCTTGCTTGGTTGATTTACAGGAATTATAAATGCGTTCTTGTTAGTTCTAACTCCATAGACATATAGGCGTGTGGTTAGCTTGAATAGGCGCCTAAGAACTCGACAGATTCTTTATGAGCAATATTAACTCTGTCAACCAGTGAACTAGATGAATTAGTCAGTCAATTCAATTGAAGAATACAATAGGATTGTTAGATAGTCCATAACACTAGATCGTTTTCATTACAATGATAACATAAAAATCTAATGTTCCTTTGTTAGAAGTCCATTATTTTTATTTTCTTTTTAGTTTAGTTACTTTAGCATCACTAATTTTGGGTTTAATTCTTGTTCAGATAATTAGGATAGTCTAATTTAGT